AGCAAACACCTGGTGGAACTGCACATCTGCTGAGCTCATTCTACAGCCTCAGTGAAAAACTTTGTTAAAGGGTTAATAGAGGAGCCATATTCCTGAAAGCAGAGCTTAAAAACAGAGCCAGAGTTTCTTAAAGAGACAGAGACAGAGTAAATTTCTTTTAAGTCATTTTTGATGTACACAGCACTTTTATAACAGCTGTTATACTTGTATAACAAATTTATGTCAGATCATAATTTCTTGGTTAATGTCAAGTTGTCATAACAAAATCATTTGAATAATGTCAACTTTGTGTTAAAAGTGTAATGATTTACCAAATGACACTTTAGACAACAGTCATAAATATTCATAAAGACTCACTCATGTTTATGACATGTGTTATGACAGTCTTATTCACAACCAATCACATAAAATGTTACCTAAGTTCAGAACCTCAGTGAAAGAAAACTGAACTATCCCTTTAATTGTAATTTAGAACATTTTGGACTAAAATCACAATGATTAATGTGATTGAATGTAATTTTGCATTCAGGCAGGCACCTTTCTTTATTTTTATATCCACTGATGCAGAATGGTGGTGTTGCTTGTTTTTTCAAGTAATTTTAGTTCCATTTATGTTTCATGCAATTTTTATTTACAATCTCTTCAAAAATGTTCACAAGCTTTTGCCCAGATGTGAGGTCCAGTTGCTGCTCACGACTCTCTGGTCTCTGTTTTTAATCTCTGGAGAGAAAAAACACCAAATAAAAAAAAAAGCCACTTGCCACTTTTCACATAATCAGCTTTACAAAGCCTCCCACTCCTCCTCCATGCATGAGCATCTTTTCATCCTCCTCCTCCCACAGGTTTTTTTTCTATCTCTGTGCCTTTTTTTTTTTTTTTTTTTTTTTTTTACACTTCTCATGGACTCATATTATTTGTGAAGTGACTTGCAGGTTACTGGATGTCAGAGTAGCAGCAGCTCAGGCTCAGTCCCATCTCCTCTCCGAATCGCCTGGGCTCATATTTTTATCCTCAGGGTCAGAGCGCTCGTAGAAAATCTTAAACCTTCACAGAGAATAAATGGAGATGGAAACTTAACCGGTGGAACGTTCTCAGTAAACATAATGAGCCCGGCTCTCCTTTCATTTCTCTGTCATATTTGATTTTTTCCTGCCTCCTCTGCCCTGCAAGCATCTGTGATGGATTCAAATGTGTTCATTATAAGTCAGAGGCACATTTAATCTGTTCTGGCCTCATCTGCATGTTGTATGTATTACAGACTCGGATGTTATTGTTTCCATTTGTAATGTGCTTGCCATTAGATTGAGTTAAATACATGTTAATGTCATTTGATTGAAGAGAGGTAGTAACCAAATGTAACCAGCGGGCAGTCTGGCGCTAGTGAGCTACAGTAAAGAACTTCCTCCTGAATAACTGGAGCAGAGGAAGAAACACTGCTGCTCATTTATTCAACTATTCCCCATCACAGGTATGAGTTTACATTATGGCTGAAATGATCAATCAAATTAATTGACGACTGAAGTAACGATCAATTAATTTAGTGACCAATTAATTATTAACTGGAGTATACAGAGTTTAAAATATTCCACTTTATGAAACTACAAAACAAAACCCTCAGAACAGTAACTGCCAGTTAATTGATTTATTTAGCAGTTTTGCAAAATTTTCGGCAAAAAAGTTAAGAAATTTAAAAAACAAGAAAAAGCACCATAGCTGTTTATCAAATTTATTTTCAAAATGTCATTTATTCAATTATTTCTCTTGTCTCACTGCGTTCTGCTGCTCCGTGCTGCACTAACAGCGTCTCGTCACATTTTGTGTCTCCAGAACGCCTACGACATGGCGGAGCTGCAGAAGTCCCTTCAGCCAAGCCCCGCCCAGTCGGTCCAGTACTGCCGCTCCAGAGCGCTGCACCACCCGCCGCCCGCCCACCACCTGCACCACCACCTGCTCCACCAGGCTCCGCCCGTCCCGGCCTCCACCGCGCCGCTGGACCCCCTCAGCCGGACGTCCAGCTCCACCACCCTGCCTCCCTCGGCCGCCTCCACGTCCTCCACGGCCACCACCACCACCAGCCTCCGTAGGGACGTGCCCCCCACCCGGCCCCCCGCCCAGGGCCAGGCGCGCCCCTCTCAGCTGGCGCGGCGCTCCCTCTCCTTCTCCAGCCAGGACCTGGCCCGTTACCTGTGTGAGATCATCCGTGACGCAGACCAGCACCCGGACACGGGGCCCTTCGACTCCCTGCAGGTGTTCTCCACCGAGGGCGGGGGGTCGCCCGCCGGCTCCCTCAGCTCCTTCAGTTCGGCGGGGCTGGACGGGGGGAGCACAGGGGAAGGGGCTGGGGAGGCTCGGCGGGAGGAGACGCTTGGGGAGTGGGGCCCCCGCTTTGAGAAACTGAGAGCTCTGTACGAGCGAGCCGAGGCCAGCGACCTCTGAGCGACGGGACGCTAATAACAGAACGCCTTATAAACCTTTCAGACGGGGAGGGAGCCGAGTCCGGTCTGTCTCATAACCCGCCGTCCAGGTTGATGTGGCCCTGCAGCAGGCGACTGCTTTCTGAGGACAGACATCATCTCCAGGTGAGATTAAGACTTCAGAGCGTCCTGAACACACAGACGTCACTCTGCAGTCGAGTCCTTCTGAAGACGTTTTTATTTCAAATCAGCACCAGTGAAAATGTATTTTGTATCTTGTTGCTGCTGAATGAGAGCCGTGTAAATAAGGGACGTGTTGCACACTGCACTAAAACATCATCAGTTTCTCATACAGACATAGAGCCTTGTTTTTTTTGTTTTGTTTTTGTTTTTTTATATATACTGTGTTATGTTTTGCCACTTGTCTCCACACAGTTTCTGAAGTTTGGTTTAAGGTTTTTATGAGGGGAAAACCTGAAGACGTGTTTCAATGATGAGACCAGGGAAGTTTTTCCTCTGGAAATACTTTTTCTGGATCCTTCCACACTTTACTGGCTGAAACTCAACCTGAATCTTGACCAATTCTTAACTCACAGAGGGCAAGAGGAAGTTTCTAAAGCCACAAAGTCAGATTTTCAGCTTTCAGTCTTTATAATTTACATATTGAGACGTTGACAGTATGACAGGATTATCTACAGGGGAGAGAGTTGCCCAGATTTAAAATAACTTCAAAGTCACATAAGTGTAGTAATAGTTGGATTTATAATAAATAAATCATAAAAGATGTTACTTAACGTAGCATTGACCACACACACACACACACACACACACACACACACACACACACACACACACACACACACACACACACACACACACACACACACACACACACCAACAGCATCTCCTGTCTTAAGTTATTGACAAATTTTGAATATGAATTGATTTATTATGAGGCAGCACATATTAACATGAGTGTAGTGAAATACACTCATTTTCATCTGTAGTTTCCAGACGGGTTGATGGTCAAAATGTAAAGACACACACACCCTCAAACACACTGTAATTATTTTAAAAAATCACAGGAACTGTTTAATATACTGAAATATGGAGCTCAGACTGAAGACACTGTTGGATTCATAAAACCAAACTCTCCAATAAGACAGTTAAAGGTTCTTACCAGAACCTTCTGGATGAACTTCCTGCCCTGCTGCTCAGGTTGGACCTGCTGGTCACCATGGAGAAAAGGCTCCTGCAGGTAATACGCCTCCAGGTGTCAAGGGTTGGACTTTTTTTCTTTTTATTGTTGTTGTTTTTTTTGCTCTTTTAGTTCAGTCGAGTGCTTCAGTGTTGGTGAAGTGTTTGGGGTTCCAGCTCTCTGTGGGTTGTAAGACATCAAGCCGTCTCTACTGCGCCCGCGTCCTCATTTCATTTCCTATTCTCATCCGCTCCGCCGCCGCCGCTCATTGTAGCTCACCCAAGGGGGCCGGCGGGGGCCGCACCAAAATTCAAACAGATCTCTAACAAAGAGGCGCGAGTGGACGAGTGGCCCGCGGGCCGGGATGGGGGTTGGGAGCGGCAGCTGCTGCAGACTGTTTAAACAGGCGATCGCTCAGCGGAATACAAACTACGCAGAGCGGCTTCCCAAGGTGACAGCTCGAGAAATTCAAATAAATGGAGGAGCGGATCGGAGGAGATTTAACGGATTATTCATACAGACGCCATAGCAGAAGCACCTGTGCATTGAAATCATTCAGAAATATCTGCACCGTCTTTCCCACATCGCAAGGGGATGACTGATCTAAGTCCCCCCCTCCCGACTCCTTTTTCTTAAACTACACAATCCTCCTCCTGATGCTTTTGACCCAGTGAGAAGCATTTATCTGGAAAAGAACAAAGAGGAGAAATAAAGCACCAGAAAGGAAACAGGGTGCAGGGAGACGGAAGGCCCAGCTGCTCTCACCTTTGATAAGAGAGATGATTACATGGTGGAGGGTTGGATCAGAGGGGCAGAGAGCGCTCGGCTCTGTGACAACAGGAAGGAGGTGTGGATGGAAATGTAGGCAGGAAGTGACACAGCAAACAGCCTGACCTCTGCTGTGGCCAGCAGGAAGCAGGCCTACTGGGACGACTGGTCACTCTGGCTGGCTTGAGGACACATTGTTCATCCTTGCAATAATTGTAGCAAAACATCATCGACTTTATATCTCAATTATAAAAAAATGCACAATAAAGCAAATCCAACCAATACAACACAACCGTCCACATAATAAATTTGGAAATGTTATGTGAGATTTATATCATATGTTTTGTACATATTTGTTAAAACTATCACCAAGTCGTGACAGTTTACTGTGAGACAGATCATCTGTGAAGGTCAATGTCCTCCACCACTTCCCTGAGCTGCTTCAGTCATCTGATGCACAACCAATCACAGCCAGGAGGAGGGGCTTAGCGCTGTCAGTCAATTTAGTAATTTTTCTAATGTGCTAATTCGCAACTTATTACATGTTCAATTGTCATCAGTGGCTAATTAGCATTAGCATTCACATCAGGCTCTGCTGACAGGGAGAAGCAGCAGCATAGCAAAGAAGGGTGAGTGGTGCATGTATGCGCAAGATGGACAGCGATAAGTCCCTCCTCCAGGCTCTGATTGGTTGTTTCTAGATAGCACTGGGAGAACTGGCAAAAGGCAGACTATCACCACAGTTTCAACAAATATGTAATAAAATATTTTAATAAAAGTTACATACTGCAGCTTTAATCAGAATTCTCCAGTAAATGGTCTAGTTAAAGAGTTTAACATCATGATGGAGTTGAAACATCACTACCAATAGTTTAAATGTAACAAATCACATCAGTGTTGAATTTATCAAGCACTAGTGTAGTGTCAGATGTTCGGAGCATCAATGGGTTAATTTAACACTGAATAAAATACACTTACTCTATGGAAAGTTTTAAACGTAGCTTAAAATAGAAATCTGATTTTTTTTATTGTAAATTTATAATCCCAGAATTTTCTTACCAAATCATTAGATGCCACTTGAACTGAAACTGAAAGTTAAAGTTTGAATCCAGCAGAATTTCAAAAACAAACATTATATAAAGCAGCACCAGGCGTCTTCAATCTTGACAATCCAAAGAGCCATTTTGACTCTTTACGGCTCTGTTAGAACCGTAAAGAGTCAAAATGTTACATAATTAAAAAAAATATATGTATTGGAATTTTTGTTAAATTCCAATTATTATTATCCAATTATTATAAGATTAGTGTTGACATTTTTAACGGATATATAATTTATTTCTATTTTTAGGTGTTGAAAACATAAAATATTTTCACAGAGCAGATCTATACACTTCTATAGAGTATTGATATTACAGAAAAATGAAGTGAAAAAATCAGCCTCGCTTTGACAAGAAAACAAATGACACCTTTTCATTTTGTTGTAAAAACAGAAAAGTGCAAATATTCTATTAAAATCTGTAAAACAAATAAAATCTCCATTTGTTTTTCTATCTATATTTGAAAACAGTTTGTTCTTTATCATTTTTAGCCAAAGCTATTAAAGACCATTGAAGGTTTAAAATGGCCACTTGCTGATATAAAAAAAAGTATAAATTTAATGACACACAGTTCGATCTCATGCTCAGTCTAAAACATAATGATAAGCTGGTGTTGTCAACTGGTCAACATAGGGTCACATCTGAAAGTTGCAGGACTCTGGACCTCGACCCCAAATCTGACCTCAGATAACATGAGGAAATGGATGGAAGAATTAAAGCAACTAGTTCCAGGAATGAAATATGAAATTAAAGAATTTTAAGAACTGAAACCCTTCTAGACCAAAATGTTTGATATATACGCCACCAATACCTGTTGATGTATATTCAACACAAACTGAGTCATTCTGGAAGCACTTTGGTTCAATCTGGTGATGTTCTGCCCAATCACCACTAATTTAGCTAACTTATAAAAAGATGTTATGTTTCTGACTGCTGGTGAAAAATCACCATATTCTTAAAAATGTCATTTTTAAACGGCCTATTTTTCTGCGCTTATTTATTTTTTTTCTGTCCTGCTGCACAAAAATGACAAAATACATCCTCACCTCATGGTTTTATACAGTAGGTTCCTACAAAATGACCGCCGCTAAGTGGTCAGGTCAAATGTGACAACAACAGAATTTTCCAGTAACAAGCGAAGTGTTGGATTCTGGTCCGGTTCCACCAGGAACTCAGCCACAGCAGTTTTCTTTCCTTCATGGCGGCAGAGCGGTGATGGTCAAGAAGTCGCTCTAATGAGACCGGCTCAGGTCGGCTCAGCTAACGGGAGCTGACGGGTCGCGGTCGAGCTGGACAAACCAAAGCGCCGTGTGAACTTTCACACGGCGGTCAAATCCCAGATCACAGCTTTCCAGAAATGTTCCGATAAGTCATGTTTTTGGTTTTTATTATCGTTTTTATCTTGCATTTGATTTCCTGTCAGACTGTAGGGACTTTGGGATGTCTGTGAATTAGTTTTTCTTCAGCGGACTGAGCCTGAGACAGGAAGGACTGGGTCGCCTTCCTTTCCATGTCTCCCCGACGATCCTCTGAACTAAGAACAGTTTCCTTGGTGTTGTGTTCCGGGTGTAAGCAAATGTAATGTTTTTACCTCATTTGTAAATAACAGAAAGAGAATTATGGCTTTTTGTCAAGAAAAGCAGCATCGGCTTGCAATGTGCAGGGTAAAAAGAAATAAAATAAATAAAAGTGAACATATTTTCTAGCGATATGATGGTGATGAGCTTTTAACAGTTATGTAAGTGTTTTGTATTTGCTTTCATCTCTTTTTCTCAATAAATCCATTTATTTGCACCAGAGACTGAGTGTGAACAAAACAGCTGGATATTTGGATACACACACACACACACAACACACACACACTGCCAGAGTAAAGTTTGCATCCCTGCATCGTCCTAACGGAGGACCTGTTCTTCTTTTCAGTGTAGAAAGATTATAAAAACTAGAACTGAATGCACAAGTTAGAAATGATGGTCAATTTTCTTGAGTGGACATGATGTCAGAGTTGTAGATATAGCCTCAAAAACGTACACAAGCCTCCATTAATATTTGGAGTGTTGCTCCAGGGGAAGTTGCGCCTCAATCACAAGCCTTTCGTTGCTGTCAGCTCGCTTCAGGCTGGACTCTGGATGTTGGACCACTCTTCTCATCTCTGGTGTTAGTAGGTCAAAACAATCTCATGTTGTAAGTCAACCTATAATATTCAAATTTAAAAAAATAAACACTGCTTTTCACATCACAGGCCCCAAAAATCTGGATCTGGAGCGAATAACGGAGGCTGACGGCGCTTCTGGAATGATCTTGATGCCAACCCTACTGAAAATATTTGGATTATAGTTTTTGAAAAAGTGTGTTTTTTCTGACTCTTGTACTTGAATCTTGCTGAAGACAAAATCATCGCCATTAAATTCAAACTTCAGCTTTAAATTTTTGTTTTTAGAACTGACAGAAGCTCTATATTGTAAGTCTATTCCACCCTGAAAAGAGAACTGTTCAAATTTGCCCAAAAACCCAGATTCAGACATTCATGACTATGAATGCAGGGAAGCTTCTGACCGGCACCGTGGAACACAGTAAAATCTGTTTCCAGAGTTTGGTTTTATCACTTTGTTTTTCTGATCATAATAAAGATTAATGCCCAGTTTTTCTGGGTTGTCATGTGAACCAGTAGGAGGAACCACGGAGGAACCACGGGGCCCCCGCTTCCTGGGGTCCCATCACATGTTGAGGGTTAAGAAGTGGCGCTCGGGGTCCTGACTGAGCGTCTGGACAAGACGGAAGCGATGGGCGACACCGGACTCCCTGCTGTGAGGGTCCAACATGCAACAGGAGGGAAAAGAAGAGAAACAGATTTCACCATAACAGACAAGGAAACGACACGGCGGGGGCGGAGAGGACTTTTATTGAGCAAAGTTTTTTGGAACATAGATGTGTTTAATATAGCGTACAAAATAACAGAGTTCTCCTATAACAATAGGTTTGGCACAAGAACCGAAAGTCAACTGACCCACTTCTGCAGGACTGGCTTCATGTGAGCTGAGTGGATCCAGGAATCAACATTCACAGAAACAGACGCCATGTTGTCATTACAGTCCTTACATTCTGAGGATGTCCTGAGTTATATTTCCTTAAAGTTTCCTGCAGGCGGATGTGTTTGTACTAAATGTATCCAAGAGACAAAGACCAACGTCTTACACATGCTCCTTTTTTACACTTTCATATTTGGCACAACACTGCATGATCACACCACAGGGAAATCACCACACAAATGTAGTGAAGGTGAAGGGCTCTGTCGCTCCTTGGAGATTCATCAGTTCATTTTTTTCAAAGCCTGTTATAACAGAGATCATTTATTTTATCAAGATTGTGTGTCACACCGACACAAAGTCGTGATGCAGCATATAGAAAACAATATTTGATGGCCATTTTGTCTCGACTCATTCAATTAAAAGAAAAGCTTTTATTTCTCCCAAAGGAAACTTAATTGTTGCCAGAACTCACATCAAATATTTGATATTTGGTGATGATGTGGACAGGAAGGATCTCCAGTAGCAGTCAGTCATTCAACATCTCTCTAGAAGCCTCTGACTAAAGACCACCTCATGACTGTCATGACATGCTAGAAGCTCAACAGGATAACATGCTAGCAGCTCAATAACGTCTAGTCAAATCCAGACATAAATCAATATGAAAATCTGTATCTAATCTCTTATGAGAGACCTGGAGTTAAATTGTTTCTTTACAAAATGTTGAAACCCATTTTGTTTACAGTCCATCTCTGAATTATACACGACTTTGTGTTGGCATTAACTTTTATGATTTAAACCAGGGGTCTCCAAAGTGGGTCCTGGAGGGCCGGCATCCTGCATGTGTTAGTTCTCTCCTTGGTGGTAGTGACAACCTTTTCAGAATGTCAAGGTTCTTCTGAGGCCTCTAACGAGCGTCATTTGATCCAGGTGCATTAAATCAGGGAGAGAACTAAAACATGCAGGACGCCGGCCCTCCAGGAACCACTTTGGGGACCCCTGATTTCAACAGAAAAATGTTTGTTTAAATTGAATAAATAGCTTAGCAAAGCCCTGATCCATTTGGCCAATGAGATGCTAGAACATCTGACAGTACGTATCTGTACTCGTGTTTAGATAGATGAAAACATCACCAGTGAACTTTATGCTTGATGCTCCAAACAAACTCAGAATATAATTAATTCTGGAGCAGCAACGCTTCCCAAATCATTCAGAAAAAAACAAAACAAAAAAACACTCCAGCTGAAAATTAAAATAGCCGTTTCAGAAATATATTCTAGTGTTTCATGAGTTTCTGCCCCCGACATGTCAGCCATGCTGAGCATCATCATCCAGCAGCTCATTGACCTTGTTGCTGTTTTCAGATCCACATCCAACACCTGATTCTGGAGCGAACAGCCAGGAAACTGTCTGAGCTTCTCTGTTGTTCTTCAGCAGGAATCATCCTGTTTGTTAACGATCACCATGGACCCCGACAGAGAACCACCAATCCCAATATGTATGGAAATGACTAATGCTGCAAAAATATCACATTAGTATACTCCTATTAAGCAAACATAATGGAATCACTTTCCTCTCAAATAAAGTGATCCGACATCTACTTAATTAAACATCCAGCATGAAGGCAGGACAGACGAAGAACAAGCGCCGCTGATCCGATTGGTATGCATTACAACGGGAGTTAATGAACGACACGTTTTCAAAAGCAGGAGAGTGTAAATTATCAAAGAGCGACGTTCCTATTAACATGCACACAAATACTGGAAAGCTGGTGTGTGAGGAGATACACACACACACACGCACACACACACACACACCAGCTTGTCTGACTGGCATCTACATCTCAGTTTCAATCAGAGCCTTTCCTTAAACCAAGAGGATAAAGGAAACAAGGTTTAAGATCATTATGGATCCGAGTTGTGATCTGCTCTCATCTCTACACTTTTCTTTAACATGAGTCTGTTTTTCCACCCTCCTCCTCCTGGGTTTCATCTGAGAGTGTTACCATACCTTGCAACCCTCCGAATTATTTGGAAATTGGAGGGAGGAATCAGTGAGGTTGTCAGCCTGCTGCAATTTCCTCACAGCTTCCATTATTCATGCGTGTTTGTATGCAGGAGCGACGGCAGTGGAAAGGTTGAGGCGGCCGCTGACGAGTCACACAGAGAAACATGACAGCAATCACATCAACAAAGGCGACACAAATATCTCCAAGAAGATGCTCTGACCTCAGATGTGACCAGAAAAAAGAATAATTATCCTCAACGTTTACCTTTTTGACAAATATGTTGTTCACACAGATGTTCAGTCTTGGCCATAACTTTCTTTCTCCCACCAGACAGGAAGAAAAAATATTTTAGTCATTAAAATATTTTAGTGTCACAGCAGTTGCAATGTGTTGCTTAATGTATATATAATGATGTATTTAATTTGGGAATATCGCCCTTTCTGAACAAAAAGAAAACAATTAAAAATAAATGAAAGGCAATTTGTTCAAATTGTGCTATTGTACTATCAACAATCCAAAAAAACAAACAACACAAAGATAAATAGTTTGGTGGATTTTACCTTAAGAAATGTTTTTATGTAATCTTGATATATGTTGCTGTAGTATGTTATATCTGTGAGTATTGCTGCTGCTGCTGAAGTTTTGTCATCAGATGTCAAATGTGTTTTTAGGAGTTTCCAATTTTGCTGTGAAATATTTTAATCAATACTGTGATTGGCTGCCAGAGGCTGAGATTAAGAAAGTGTTTCAGTATTTAAAGAGTGAATCTGACTCTAGTGGTGATAAAACATTTTTCAGTTGTACTGTCGACATTTTCTAAATTGGAATTTGACAGAAGAGCTGGTGACATTTTTTGGGGGGTATTTTTTTACTTTTTAAGGCAAGAACTTTAAATGACATCTTTAAAGTAGCTAGCATGATCCCAGTTAGCTCAGCAATCAGAGTTAAAAGTCTGCCTTCATGTGTGTCGTTAATTTGTTTTGAAACGAATGTTGTCATGTCCCTTTTCAGTGGAACCCTGACCCAAAAATGCACCTGGTGAAATGTCCAAATTTAAGGGCTGCGACCTTTGAGGTCAGCCTCTGAAGGCTGTCCGAACTCCCAGGCTCCTCCAAGTCACTAATTGTTCCCCTGAATTTCATGGACGAGTCTGGAGTGTCTTTTTTTCTCCCCCGGCCAAACAGATTTTTATTGAAACAACGGCGGAACAGTGGAAGTGCAATAGTGGAGTACAGTTTTATATGACAGTAGATAAAAATCTGGTGATTTAAAATATGAAAGATTAAAGCGATTGTATTGTTAGGTTTAGGTCATTTGATTTTGCAAAAAAGGAAAATAATAAAAATGTAATTTAATGATTCAATTGAAAAGGAAAAACATTTTCCCAGTTTGAGTTAGCAATGTCATTGTTGCTAGGCGACAGGGGATAGGGATTTATACATGAAAACTCCTAGAAGCAGTACGATAGAGATTAGTCTCTATAAATAAATAATTCACAGAGCTGGTTGATGGTTTTGCTGATGTTAGGTGTGAGCAGGTCTGCTGTACACTGAGGCAGATTATTTAGATGAACCGATATGGTGAAGATTCATAATGTAAGCATTGACACTTTGTAGAACATGGCAACATCATCTGAGATGAGAGGCAGGCAGAGAATGGCCTGGAAGGATTCAGTTCTTGGTGGAAAAACTTTGCTGCCTTAGAAAAAATCTAAAATCTCAGCTCCACAAACCAAGAAACTAATAAACCAAAAGATTTCCTCTATCAATCTCTGAATAAGTAGCCAAATCTATCCTATCACCACAAAACTAATTGTTAAACCCTGCATTTTTTTAATTCTATTTCATATTGCTTGAACTATCTATCTTCAAATAAATCATAACTGCCATATGTTTTGACTTTCAGGGCTCTATTGTGGTCATATAGAAACTCTTCATTTGTTTTAATAATTTCTGTTTTCTTAGACAAACATGATCTCAGTAGCAAACAGCAGCATTTTTAAGAGTTGCTTCAGCTCTCCGCTAATAACAAAATGCAACTCTGGACTTCACCCGCCTGCTGCGTTGACGCCACATTCATGGGGTCATGCTTAGCGAAGAACAAAGCAACATCAAAGTAAAAGTCGGGAGGTTGTGTGTTTCTGGTCCCACTACTGCTTCACGCCGGGCTCGGAGGACGCTTTGCTGCTTTTCTTACGCTTCTTCTTGAGCCTGTAGACGTAGAAGGTTTTGTTCTGGAATGTCCTGGTGAACAGAGCGCTGTAAGCCGCGTCGTCCGTCTTGATGGCCTCACAGAAGCGAGGGTGGGAGGCGGGGACGAGGTCCGGCTCGTTCTCACCTGGTCCGTCCATGATCTGAAGGGAGGAAATGTGTTGACATCAGCGGCAGCAGCAGAATGTTAGTAACTGCTGGATATTCTTTGTTAAACACAACATGGACAAATGAAGATGAACTGTGTGAGTGGACAGACGGCTTCCTGCTTTGTGATCCCTCAGTCTGCCTGCAATGAGCCTGGGAAAGATGACTACACTGACTTTCAGTCCTTATTGAGGAATATCGACTGATCCATTGATAAACCCTTTACCTCAGAAAGCCGCACCTGGACACACAGATACCAAGTTTATTAAGTTGATTTCTTAGAAAGCCAGGAAACTGTCATTTTAGTTAAAAAATAAAGGGTTTTATCACAAACTCTGCCAGAGGAAGTCAGTTTTACCCCATCAAAGCCACTGTTCATATACAGGTATTTATAAAAATAAATATCTCCGCCACATTGTTTTTAAAAAGCATATCATACACACAGAACTGTTTTCAGAAAAGCTGTCATCTACATGAACCTGCACAAATCTGCAACTGAGCGCAGTTTTAAACATGCCAAACCCATAGGGGGCAGTGTAACACACAGCTAAAACCTGTCAGCCAATCAGAATCCTTCAAAACAACCATGACTTTATGTTAGGAATTAAACAAGGTGGCAGGAGGTTCATTTGCATGGATAGATCTAAAGTTGAACTACTTTTAAACAGTGTATTAAAAATTTAAGTTATTGAAACTAAACACTGTTGATTTGTGTCAAAGCAAATATGTGGACATACTGGCGCATTATTTGTCACACACTGCAATGTGCAGGACCCTACAGCTCTAAAGCTTGTGAAGGGGATATCATTAAATGCTCTTTGTAATGGCTGGATTAGTAACGATGACTAAAACAAATATAGGTGAGATGAAATGAAGAACTGAGGCAGAAAAAGGCTAGTGAGAAATTAACGACAGAATGAGAGCATGAAATGTTCAGACACAAAGACAGCATCACTTCAATAAAGCTGTCTACATGTCAGGTGGTGTGTGTGCTGTGTGACATTTACAGCAGCACAAACACACACTCCGGCTCTGAGCTTCTGCGTTTTAAGTGTCTTACAGCACACTGGGCCAGACCAAGGCTTGACTCGCCTCTGGTAATCCAAGCAAGCCACATCCAACAAGAGTGAAAAGGGAAAAGTGCATGTGTGTGTGTGCGTGTGTGTGTGGTGAGAGAAGAAAGCGCAGCGGCAAGAAAGTGAGAAGCAGCACCACGCTGATAAGAAGTGAGACTATTGATCTCTCTGCGGAGGCTGAGCGAATCCACTGAGCAATAAACGTTGACTGAGAAGGCACACCCAACAACAACACACACACACACACACACACACACACACACACACACACACACACACACACACACACACGCCCAAATACACAAGTCAACATGAGTCACGTAGAATAAATGCCACCCACATGTCCATTGGCCAGGTCCAGCAGGTCCCGCAGTCTGCATCCTCTCTGGTGCCTCCGCTCATAACAGATGCTGTTCTCCAGAACCACATAGTCGGCCCCCACCGCCCTCAGGATGTCATACACTTCCTCTGGGGACCGCCGAGCATACACCTGGTACACCTGCTCTCACACACACACACACACACACACACACACACACACACACACACACACACACACACACACACACACACACACACACACACACACACAGTAAACAGTGGATTTTATTCAGGTTTCTATGGATCGTTAATTCTCAGCAATATTTCTGGAGGGAGGAACCTCTTTCCTGGAACTGAATTAACAGGCACATTTAACTTTTAACTACCGTTGGTTCAGCTTCAATTACGAGTCCTTTATGAAAACAAGTGAAAAAAAATTAGTGAAAAACAGCAGGATAGGGAAAAAATAGAAGTATTGTAATTTGTCTGTTACAGATGACAAAGTTGATCCAAACAACATTCTGCAAAAACAGGAAATGTGTCAATAGGAATATTTAAAAGTGTCATGTTTAACCACGGCCCTAAATTCACACAAAGATGGCAGATTATGGAAGATGATGAATCCTGGCAGAAGCCAAGATTGGTCAACCAAAATTACTACAAATCAACAATACACCCAGGAAACAGGAACAACAAATCTCAAATCCTCAGTAGATTTTAGCCAGTAACTCAAATCCTTGTTTTCAAGCCAAAAATCAAGACGTCGTTGTTTTATGACTTGGGAGCTTGAATGCGACTAAATATTCCCTAAAGGAATTAAAATGAGCAATTCTGGGAAGAATATATTTTTGAGAATTTGCATGACACACAAAATGTTCAGCTTTAACTTTTGTCTGACTGGCTGCTCACTGCTTTGAGCTGCCGGCTTCAAGGTAACAAGAAAATCTACATCAAATTCCAGACATGTGTACTGCAAGACAGGACATCTTTAAACTTAAACTACAACCTGAGGAATGAACAAATTGCATTAGGGGATTTCTTTTTGGACAAACAAACATGACAAAGAAGAAAAGATAGAAAAAGAAAAAAGACAGAAAAAGTTGAAAGGAGAAAGAAACAATTTTTTTACTTTTAAAAACTAATTAATTCACTCAGTCGTGATCCACATAAACACAGCAAATAGAACACCTTCATAATCCCAGATATTTTGATCACTCTTGTTCTAGCCATACTCTTGAAAAATCAGTTTTCTGTTCATTATTAATTTTATATTTTTATCTCAAATAATTTGTTAACTTTGCTGGACCAAGACTAAAATTCAACATTTTTTTTTCCTTTTATTTTTTTGTCATATGAAAAGCCAAAAATAAAAGAGTGGTCTGTAAAACTTTCTCCAAATGATTCCCAAATATCCCTAAGTAGTCGCAATAATAATAGAAATAAAAAAAGAAAAAAGAAAAACAAGAAGGAAAAAAAGAAACAAAAGAAAGAGAAAGAATAAAAGAAAGAAAGAGTTGATGGAAGAAGCAAAAAAAAAAAAAACTGGAAATAAAGATATGCAAGTAATTTTAAAACTAGTGTAATTCAGACTAAAACTGAGATTATTCAAGCTGTTTGAACAGCTGTGGTGTCAGTCCACCAGTTAACACAAAGTGTGTTTTATTTGTGTGGCTGGGTATGACTCCATTTCCAAAGTCACACAGATAAAATAGTTTATGTGACATGACGGTGACCCTGAACCCACTGTCTGTCCATGCTCTGCTTTCATCAGTCACCAGGTCACCTGTAGAATGGAACCAGCGGATTTTACTTGCAGAAAAGGAGATTTAAATGTAAGAGCTCCTAACAAACACGCTGTGGGTTGAAAACGCTTAAAATATCCTGAGTTACTTGATGTCAGTCGGTCTTATGCTTGATGGAGTTGTGTCAAATGGCCATGGATCAAAGTGTTTAGACTTTTTGTGGTGTGTAGCCATTGACACGCTTCTGCTGACATCTCTATTCAGATACAGAAGAACTCAGCATCAACACATTTCTAACCATCAACAAAGACACAGTGTGTTCGGAGTCTGTTGAAAAAACATTTCATTACAAGCTGCAGGTGATGTTTACATGTAAGCAGATACGTGGTGAAACAAATACATTTTGATCTGTTTTGGCCTTCCGTCCAGCCAAACACTCTGTTTAATATCACTAAAATGATTATCTCTGAAACTTTGTCACAATTCACACATAACAGTCTTTAGTTTTAATAACTTTATATTTTAATACACCATTTAACCCTCTCAGACTCAAATTACTTGCAAAGACTCGCTAAGTTGTTGCAAATCTGCAACACCTGCTTGGAGAGGGTTGAAAGTGGTTCAACCTTTATATCCATCCACACGAATGAACCTCCTGCAGCCATGCTTAATTCTTAACAGGAAGCCATGCTAATTTTGATTGGCTGAGAGGTTTTAGCTTTGCACAACACTGCCCAGTGTAGGTTTGGTATGTTTGAAACAATGCTCTGTTGGGGATTTCTTGTTTCCTTTATTAAAAATACGCGAGAAGAGTCTGAAAAGTCAAAAAACAGAGCGACGAAGTGGCTAAGTTGACAACATCGATTCTTTTGTCCAGCCGCGCTCACCACCTCCACTCATCCTCACACTCAGCTGTTTCTTAGCTCCGCCCACTTTTCTCAACTTTTTCAGAATTTGCTAGGGCGGGGTTTAGCTTTCACAGGGCGGTAAGTTACACTTTAATGATCTCTTTGGTTTACTAGTCAAGGTTTGTAGCAAATCTCTATGGATAACATCACATATTATGTAGCCAAAGAACAAAACCACAATGACAAAGATGGACTGCAAAGAATTAAAAAAGCCATCGTCATCCAAGAGTGGTGCAGGAATCTGTGAGGAGGGAAGCACTTTGGCTCAGAACCATAAATCCACTAGAACCCGATTCACAACACATGCCTGTTTATTTATACATCACATTATTTCTGAGATTCACTTCAAATCCAATGAAAAAAAAAAAGAGTCAAGCAAATCATTAAATTACACCTATTTTCTTAAACACACACATTCACACACTTTGCAGGTTGAGTCTACAGCAGTGTTGTGGGTCATTAATGAGGCCCCATGCGGGGCCCCCGCCTCGCCAGCACCTCAGCATGGCTCACTTCCCGCTGGGATGCAGAACACAGGCTCAGCTGGCCAGGAGATGACTTACACATCACTTCCTGTTCACTGAGAGGCACTGAATGAAGGAGCAGTCAGATCAATGATCAGTTGTGCTATATAATCATGAGATCTGAACATTATGGCACACAGGTCAAAGACAAGATACTAAACAGCGATACAGGAAAAGCCTTCAGTCAGAAAATAAAACATATATTAATCATTTGTTTTTGTAAAGGTGTTAAACCTTCAGCAGCTTGTAGAGAAATCCTGATAGCATTTCTGATCAACACATTATTGAAGCAACAAACTCCCACTTCACTGGAGCGCAGCCCTTTCAGACTGCATTTTTCTGCCCTGTATTGATTCTTACTTAATGGAAACACATTGTACTGTGTGCATCTACAGATCCATGTCTTTTTCTCATGTTCAGTGAAGGCCTTTACATCTGCAGGTTGATCTCTAATGGGCCAAAGAGGGACTGGATGATGGTTTAGCTCAAAGCACATTTAATGGCCTAATCAAAGCACAGACCTAAATCTGATTAAAAATCTGTATCAAAACTATAAAATCAATGTTCATGGTTGCTCTCTGTCAAGTCTGATTAAAATGACTGATTCTGCAAAGATTTAATTGTGTACATTGGGAAACTTGAAAATAAAACTTATCATAAGCATGATAATTTAAACTAGGCACTGTATAATTTTATCAAAACTAAAAACAACATTACATGGTCCATTCTTTCTGAAACCTTTAAAAAGAAGAAAAAAAAAAGTCTTTTACCTTGACACTCTGGAGTAAATTTCCCATAACAGAACTCAGAGTCCCCCTGGAGTTTTCTGATCTGATTGCTTTAGTTAAGTTTCACAGTTGCTGTGTAAAATAAAGCCTGCAGGCAGTCAGGCGGGCAGCCGTACCTGTCTGGTCCGCTCCCGCAGGTCTTTATCTTCATAATGTGGGTGGTTGGTGAGAACTCTGCCTGTGCACAGCTTGATGCCGGCCAGGAGCTGCATGCTTCCAGCAAACACGGCCTGTTTCGGGGTCTTCGTGCTGTGGACAAACATAGTAGAACAACTCAACACTCACATCTAAAAGTATGATCTATCATCAATCTAAGATTGGGCTTTTACCCAGCTAAAGGAAGAGAGGAAAAGAGGAGAAATAAAACGATAAAAAAGGACAAAAATGAATACAGGGAGGAAAGGAGGAGATGAAACAGTCTGAAGGTTATTCACAGATGAATATAGCCAGCAAAAAAAAAAAAAAGATTGAATTGAATTTCACTTTGTTTTCAACGTTGGTATTCAGCCCATCGACTCTTTTATCTGCAGCTATAATCTAAACACACTAAGAGTTTTTTTTTTCTTTTTTCCATTCAGAGAAGTGACTTTGAAGACAGCAGCAACAACAACATGAAGAGCGAATATAAAAGTGTTCATTGTTCAGACAAATTAAGCAACTCAACAAGAGGAACAAATACCAAGGACAAACACAGGGAGGCCGTTGTGTATTAATAAGTCAGTTTCATAGCATGTCTGATTATAAAATGATTACTTCATGTAAGCTTTACAAGGCCCACATATAGACAGCAGCTGGTCTGAAAAATATATGCATATAGCTGCAGGCAAAATGATCTTCTGTCAGGTGTTGGGTGGATTAGCAGTGGGATCAGTGTGACTGGTGATCAGTCAATATGAAAGTAGAGAATAAAGAATACAGGAAATCCAGTTTTAGTCATGGAAGCTACTCTAAATCATAAATTAGTCTTTGTTCTAAATGTTAGTTTAAAAAAAACTATGTTTACAACAAACTGCTCTCTCACATGCAGATGTTGTCATGTGATTCCTTTGCTCCTACCATCACACATCAGTACACAAAGGCTAGTGGTGAATTCACTGCAGAAAAATGCTTTGGTCCACTTGTTTGGTCCAGACCAAGGACAACTTTTTTTTTCCCCATTTGGTGCTGTTTGCACTTTTTTCAAACGAATTATAATTAGTAAACATAGCCATGCCGGTGACGATCATTGGACACATATGACGGGGGGCGGGACAGAGCACCGAGCTGGAAAAAAAAAAGTTTGAATGTGAAGAGGAGCTCATTCAGCGCTGGTGAAATCTCTAATTTTGGAACTGTGTCAGGAAATGCTGCTGCAAGCTGAATGAGACTCACAAAATGGTGACAGCAGCATCACTAAACAGGAAACGGGTACGATTTCAGTACATGTAGTAGCAGCTTCATCAGCAATACTGAAAAGCCTCATTTTTACCACGATGCCCAGCAACAGTGTCTTGTGAAGTCAAAAAAGACGTAGATGTATTGTTGGTTCGGATAAAGGTTGGTCTGTATTCACACCAGAAGTAAAAACGCACCAGTCAAAAAGTAGGTCTCTGTCCGATTGTTTGGCTTTGCCTGAGTGTATTCACACCAGCACAAAAGGTCTGAACCGAAAGAGGAAGCAACAAACTCTGACACAGAAGGCATTAATACTCCATAGAAAAAAAACAAAAAAACAACTCAAATGCTATTTTTATATCTTCTTACATTGTAGCCCTCTGGGTGCATTTACACCAGACCTGTTGGCCCCAGCAGCAGGTCACTATGGAAGTCCGGTTTGTTTGGGGAGACGTGAGTGATCCGCTGAGAAACATACATTACATCTTGTTCTACTTCAAGTGAACCAAATCCAGGAAGTAGATTTCAGTGCAGGGGGTTGTGGGTAAACAGTCAAGGAGATACAAAGGACAAGTTTTCTTACTATGAAGTACTGAATGTTTTTCTTGTTATTTTCAGTTTGGTTTCAAAAGGTCTTCTTTGTCTGACTAGCACTATTGTGAAAGCAAACTTTGACCAAGTTGCAGCAACTGAAGAGTGTCCGTTCTGTGAAACGGCATCAAAAAGAAAACAGAATTGGTTAAGTGACTGACAGTCACTGTGTTACAGACTTGTGAACAGTCTGTAACACAGAGAAGAAGAGTATTATCAATGTTTTATTCCATCTATAAAGAACTCTAATTCCAGTTCAATGGCTCCTGCATGCACAAAGGTAAGAGCTCCTGAGTGCTAATCAGGACAGTGACTGATGGTGAGATTCAGAGTGATTAGGGGTGACCTTATTGGACTCCTATGCAGGACTAGATTACTGAAGTCCCACTTGAAAAGTGAGTACAGTAGTTCAATGAAGGAAACCACTCAGACTCTCCCAGAGAGTTGAGACACAAACACCACAGAACAGAGTGCAGATTGAGCCTTTCCTCAAAGGACCAATAGGGGCCAAATGTTGCTTATTTAGACCATTTAAAAACACTACACACTACAAGCAGAACGAAGGAAGCAGAGGAGGGAGTCAAACAAAAGAGAAGCAGAAGTTGCACACAAAAAAAACGATTTCCATTGAACGGTTGATAGACAAATGAGTAGCGGCGCATGTTTCCTGGATAGAAGCGATTGACTAATTTGTCTTAATTATGCTGACAGATGAACACAGACCCAGCAAACAGGAGAAGCTGGAAGACTGAAGCTACCTGAATTACCAGGAGGAACAGCATGAGTTACTAGGCTAACCTTTTTCTTCGACAGGGTGAAAAAGGGAGACTGCTCCTGTCATAAAAACGTCAGCTTTGGTTAAATGGGCTAGCACTTAAAATAAGTTGTCTTTATGACTTTTTAATAATCGCCCCTCTCTGAATAATGGTGGAAGGAGATCAAATCTGGTTGCTGGTCAGTTATAAAGAGCATGTAATATGACTTAAATTAGCCCTGTATATTATTACTGGATTTTCCTTCACATGATTTTTGTGATTAATGACTATAAAATAAAGTAAAATGAGGATAACTCACTCTGGCATCAGCATTGTATGAATGCAAATATATGTGCCAAATATAACTGTTTCTTGAGTGACCTTTGAAGAATGGATGAGTGAATGGACTTAAAAGTTTTATTGTGATATTTTGTGTGGTAATAAGTGTTTATTGTTGCTTGTGACTGCATGGTAGCAACCAGAGTCCCACAAACAGAAAGTATACTTTTAAAAAAGATCCTGTTTATATCACACTCCTTTACAACACCAGTCACATAAAGAACTAACAGTCCACATAACACTGTTTGGGGGGAACCTTGGGGAATGTAGTCTTCTATTTTTCAATTATGTTCTACACAGAAAATCACCCAAAGCCAATGAGTTTGAGCTTGAAAAACTAATTACTGCAATGATAAAAAGAAAATGCTTCCCATAAACCCAGACAGCTTACAAGAGTTAAACACAGTTGAATATAAACAACCAACATTTTCTCCCGCACTCCATCCTGAACGACAGCCTTCAAGGATTTTGTTTTTCCCATTGTTTCCACTGACAGCTCTGTTGACAGGGCCATGGTTCCCATCAATCAGCTGATAGCAACAAACTGTTGCAAGCATTCCCTTAAACTACCCCCATTAGCATATGTAGATTTGTGTAAATTATAAGGTAGTTCTATACGTACCTCCTGATGTATATGACAGGAAAACTGTTTGAAGTTTTAAAAGTCAGAATCATTATCTCTTAACTGAAACACTTTTTTTCCCCCACAATTGGAATTTTGTCTCTTTACAAAACGTAGCAACTATCTGAGCGTCTTTTATGCTTTACTGAGTTTTTATAACAGGGGAGGTACAACTAGCTACTACAAAGTCAGTGCTGCTGCATGTTTTATGAGAACACAAAGTAGCAATGGGTGAGTGATGACAGTGTCCCAGTGTGACAATATCTACCTCTTCATTTACTGAACTCCATTTTCACAAGCTTCGTAGATCCTACCATCAAATCATGTTTGACCATGATGGGCAATAAGGGTTGTTTTGATGTTGCCAAATATATCATTGGTATGTCAGCATCAGTATTATGGCTGAACTCATCAGTCAGCCAATGATGGGTAGTCAAACAAGAAAACATTATTTTCCTTATAAATGCATCTAAACAGAACTCACTTTTTGCGAGAGTCAGGAAGAAACCTATTTTTGTGCCTTTTTGAAAAAATTACTGGCAGTCTGCCCACTAGATGGCAGTGCTGTCAATACAGTCGATGGTATGTGTTGAAAATGCATCAATAGGCATTACTGCTACACATATGCAGGGTTTACCATAGAAAACTTGCTCAGCCGTATGGTCGACCCACAGTGTTTCTGTATTTTTAAAAAAATGGTAAGTTGACAAGACCCGTTAAAATATCAGTGAGTAATTATGTTTCTGGAAGAGATTGTTGACAATACTTCAACACAACAATTGTCTTAATGACAACAAAGAAATACAATTAAAATAAATAATATGAATTTTCTGCACTTCTGTTAAATCCCAATTAAGTAATCAGCCAGAGGGTCTTTACTGCAGTTATAGCTGAACCAAGGCATAAGTGAGATAAGCAGCTGCTTAAGGCCCCAAACCCAGATCCTCAGGGGCTGAATAAATGCTAACATTTTAACACAGACCATACAGTTCAAATTTTCACAATTGTTTATCAAAAATGACATTGCAATACAATTTGATTTAATGGTGTTAGAATAGATCAATTGAAAGATTTTAACATTTACATTTAAGATTTAACAGTGTTGGCAAGTTTACTTTGCAAAAGTGCAAAGAAAAATCTTCGCAGTTTTAGTTTGTTTTGTTACCATAGCAACAATCTAATGCTATATGATTAATCTTTGTGTTTGAACTTAGCCTGTTCACAAACTTCTCAGGAAGTTACAATTATCAGTGATTACTTTTCAGCTCTGCCGATTAATCTTATCTCCCTCTCACAGATTCCAATAAATCTATATTGAAATGCTGTGAGTGATGCTGATGGAAACGGGGCCCTTATATCATGTCCTACTCAAGGCCTCATGCAACCTTAGGCCAGCTCTGCATGATGAGCTAGAGTCGCTACACTGCACATCGAGAGACCCACAAGAAGACGTATGTGGTACTACAAGCAGAAGCTCCATAAAGATATATATATCGGTAGGGAGCGCGCTTTACCTTTTAGTGACTGTTGGGTTTTTAATAAGCTCCACTGAGGCTGTTTGTTTTGTT